CAAAGAAGGGTTAATTTCGTGTTTAAACAAAGCTCTAGAACAGGGGGAATTATCATTGACACAAAAGAGGGGAATTATCACATTAATACCTAAAGGAAAGAAAGATAGATCGAAATTGGAAAATTGGAGACCTTTAACACTCTTAAATGGTGATTATAAAATACTTACAAAGATTATGGCTAACAGATTGAGGGACATCCTACCAAAAATAGTGAATTCTGATCAAACAGGTTATGTCAAAGATAGATATATGGGAAGCAACGTGAGACTGATAAAAGACATAATGGATTGGACCTTTGAAAACAAGAAACCTGGACTATGCATGTTTTTAGATTTTCGCAAAGCCTACGACAGTTTAGAATGGTCATTTATCAAAAGGACATTAAAAATATTTAATTTTGGAGACCAATTTTTGAAATTTTTTGAAACTTTGTATAAAAATTGTGAAAGCTGTATTTTAAATAATGGTGAAGCGAGCGAGTTTTTCAAACCTACACGAGGGGTACGACAAGGAGACCCAATGTCTGGAATATTTTTTATACTAGTTATGGAAATAATAGGACATGCCATTCGAAGCAATTACAAAATAAAAGGAATTCAAGTTGACAAAAGTTTGGGTGAAGTAAAATTAACTCAATATGCAGATGACATGACATTGCTACTAGAAAATAAAGAATCAGCAAAAGAAGTAATTAAAGTAATGGAATCATTTGAAAAATATTCAGGTTTAAAACTTAATAAATCAAAATCAGAAATTCTATGGATAGGTTCAAATAGAAACTGTGAAGAAAATGTGGAACAAATTGAAAGTACTAAACAAGCAACATCTTTGGGATATTGTTTCTCTTATGATAAAACAATAACAGATGAAATAAATATCAAACAAAAGATTGAAAAAATGAAAACAAAGCTTAACATTTGGAATAGCAGATTGCTAACCCTACAAGGAAGAATCCAAATAGCAAAACAATTAGGGATTTCACAATTAACATATATTGCTTCAATTGACAGGATTGAACAAAAGTATATTGACATGATAGACAATATTTTATTTAATTTTATTTGGCAAGGTAAGCCAGCAAAAATCAAAAGAAAAAACAATAATCGGTGCATTAGAACAAGGGGGATTAAGGATGGTTCAATTTAAAACAATGATAAAATCACTAAGAATAGCATGGATCAAAAGATTAGGGTCAGATGAAGAAGCAAATTGGAAAACCATTCCCATGAAAATACTCAATAAGTCAGGTGGAAAGTTAATTTTCAAAAGTAATTATGAGACAAATAAATTAAATCTTGATGGATTGCCTGTATTTTATAAAGAAATGTTAGATTATTTTAATGAAATATACAACACACCAGAGGAAATAAACATAGCTGAGATCAAAGAGGAAATAATTTGGAACAACAAAAACATAGTCATAGAAAATAAATCACTCTACATTAAATCATGGAACATTAATGGAATTAACAAATTAAAGAATTTGCTAGACAGCGAGGGACATTTTTACACTATAGAGAGGTTATCAGAAAAATATAATTTTATACCTAAAGTAATGGACTTTAATTCTATTATATCCGCCATTCCAAGAACATGGAAAAGGAAACTGAATCAATTTAATGCAGACAACAATAATAATGAAATCATAAACAAAGCAAAAAGATCAATAAATTTAAATAGTAAAGAAGCAAACAAAATATTAAACAAAAGAGAATTTGAAAAAAATGCAGGAATAACAAAATTAGAGGAAACTTTTAATGAGGAACAAATTAAGGATATATTTTTACTTCCAAGAAAAGTAGTTGATGAAACAAGATTATGGATTTTTCAATATAAAGTGTTACATAATATCTTAATATGTAATGAGAAATTACAAAAGATGAACATAAAAGAATCTAACAAATGCCCAAATTGTAATATGAGACATACGATCAAACACATGCTGTGGGAATGTGAGAAAAATAATGAAATATGGACTAGATTTAGTACATATATGGAAAAAGCTGGATATAAGATAAAAATAACAGAGAATGACATTTTGTACGGACATAAACCAAAGGATGATGGTTATATCATTTTTAATGCAGCTATATTAATAATGAAACATGCTTTATATACCAGTTTTCTTGAAAACTTAGAGCCATCATATTATCAGTTTATTGAGCACTTCAAATTATATGTAGAAACTAAAAATGTAAATAAAAATGAAGTTTGGTCTAACTTTTATAATAAAATGTTTTGAATTAGTATTTTTGTGGTGAGATAATTTAAATGCAACCCAGATGAATGATGTTGAATAAATGAGTAAATGAATGAAAATGAGTGGGTGAGTGAATGATGGATTGATGGAGTGAGTGAATGAATGAATGAATGAATGGATGGATACATGGATGAATGAGAATATAAAGATTATATGTGGTATGCTTCTAATAAAAAGATAATAATAATAAAAGAGATTAATAGCAATAATATTAAATCAAAAAATAAAAAATCAATCATTTAAAATGAATCTGCATTGAGGTATATATGGGTATATATGAATTAAATGTAATGAAATACATACTATATGTAATTGTAAGTGATTACTAAATGTGAATAAATATTTAAAAAAAAAAAATGTGCTTCTTTAATATCAACATTTCTACCTTTATCAATGTCCTATATAATTTTTTTACATTTAAAACATATTGCTATTACAGTTTTACATATTGCACCTAAATTACTGTAAAATCGGCACTAAAATGGCCGCCATTTTTAAATGAGCACCCATTTTGAAAATCGATTTAGGAGCAGAACTTCTTCCCCCATAGGGTATATGTGTACAAAATATGAACAAAATCGGGCCAACAGTATTTGAGTTATTGCCCGGACGGACGTCTTGTAATATATAGATACACTGTCCCACATGTTTTGTTAAAGAGCAACTGAAGCATACAATCTTTCCACAAAGATAAATTCAGACCAACATTTGGATATCTACATCATGTAGGTAGATTATAATTGATTTTATTTATTTGTCATATCCAGTATTTAATTTATTATAGGTTTAAACCCATATTAATATTGAAGTCATATTTGGTAAGTTAAAATCCAGTATATATTAATTATAGGAAATACCCATATTAATATTTAAGTCATGATTGGTAAGATAAAAATCCACATTAGATATAAAAGCAGGTTCCTCAGGCTTGTGACTGGGCATAGGTGGGTTTAACGTTTTCGTCCATGGAAACACTCCCCTTCCCTGCATGGATTCAATAAATAAGACATAACTGGGTCCCTGAACTATATTAACAAGTCCATGAACGCTTCAGTGTACGGTGTATTTTTATAGTTAACATTTTTCATTTGTTTTCCATTTTTATAGTTAACATTTTTTACTTATTTCATTTTTTATTTTTCTATTCATATATCTATACCATTTACTCAGTATTTTAAACTATTTAAAAAAAATTATATGTATATATATTTTATTTAAAAAAATGTTTAACCTGTTAGGGTATGGGATTAATGGACTATTTAGACTATACACCATGTGTATAAACCGGAAAAATTTTGTATAGTTTAAAGTCATTTTCGGACCACTTACCAAAATACTCCAACTCAGCCACATCAATATTGGTACACAAAGTCAATAAAAGGTGAAAGTGCAAACCACAAAGGGAATTAAGCATGCAAAGAGGAAAAGAGGAAAACGAGGAAAAGCAAGTAGAGCATTAAAAGTGCAAACTATCTAGTCACTCCAAACAACCAACACCAGGGAAATAAAGTATGAGAAGGGTCTCTGTGATCTTGTAGTTAAAGGAACATTCCTTGCCAGACTATTTTTCTCCTGATATGGTAGCTACAATCATATATATACTTTACATATTTAGCAAAACACGGGAAAATGTTTTCATATGGTCAATATTGATCATTTAAAAATGTAGTACTCATTCCCAGTAAGCATCTTTTCAGATTTCTTCCAGGAAGTGATGTCATCGACTCTCGCCTGTTATAACCTTGTCTATTAAAGTATAGGAAAGAAGTACAAAATCACTTCTAAACAAGAAGCCCTTATCATCAGTGTAAAAATATTTTCAGGAGTTGTCAACTTAGAACTAAAGAAGAGATCATCAAAAGGACTTTAATCATAGACCAAATTGAAAAAAATATTCAGCTGGTTTAGTATTTCTAATAGCTCCTTACCTAATGTTATATGCAAAGTTGAGAGTCGATGACATCACTTCCTGAGTGAAATTTTAAAAGATGGCAGCCTACTGGAATTGAGCACTACATTTTTAAGTGATCAATATTGACCATTTCAAAACATTTTTCTGCTTTTTGATAAACTTGCAAAGTATGTATATGGTTATAGCTACCATATTAGGAGAGAGATGGTCTTGCAAGGAATACCCCTTTAAACATTCAGAGGAAATGAAAAAATCTTTTGGAAGGAATGTACACTTAAAAAATTACATAAAAATGTAATATTCATATTAGTATTTTAACTGTTTAAAATACTGATATATCCCCGTTTCAATATTATGATGGGCCTAAGGGTAAATTAGGATCTATTATAATCCTCACCATTTTTTCAATTTTTTTGTATTTCTGTATTATAGTTGGACAATCATCACAAGGGCAAGCCCTGAACTATAATAGTTTTATTAGTTTTTAAATTTATAACTTGTTAAGCTTGATTATTTAACTTGGTTTATTTCTTCTGTTCATATCAAGACGCTTCTGTCATTTAAATTAGTTTCCCAATACCCATATCCAGGTATTTTTCCAGGACTGCATAAGTGCATATTTAGTCAAACCAAACTTTTTGTACAGCCGGACGGACGGAGGCGTTCCCTATATCCCTCGGAACTTTGTTGGATGGGATAATTAAAAACATAAGTGGTATCTAACAATCTCTAGTGGGAATAATGAAGATCTCTTTTGAAATTACTCCTAAGGAAATTTTTTGCCCCTCAAACCCAGTTGCTACAGGCCTGGATTTTACAGTAATTACCTGAAGAGTCTTTCTACACTTAAGAGCTGGCCAATCTTGGGCTCTATATCTTGGATGCGCTCCATTGGTTCCTATAAGGTATTCCCCAATAGGCATGGTTCCCTCACACCACTCCAAGATACCACTCCTCTGTGACAATGGCACTACCTAGAACCCAACATATTATAGACTATATAGGACCCTAGGATGTGATCCCAAGATAGTACAATATGTATTACCTAAGACCAATTCAATATATGATGAATATAATGATGCCAAATGAGATGCACAGTACAAGTACTAGTATTATGTATTTCAATTTCAAAAATAGCCGTAAATTCATTTCCCTAACAGAAAGTTAAGTTTACATATTAAGTTCACCTTATATGTCCTGACTGTCAGTTTACGTTGTTTTGTGTCAGGATATTTAAGCAGGAGACTGTTCACCATTGAGAAAACCTGTTGCATGACCGCATCTTGCCTAAGGTCATCTCGACCTTTAGTCAATTGTCGTCGCCATTTTCCATCAGAGCCGCATATCTCAAGAATCTTAGGAAGGTTGATTCCACCAGCAAGAGTAAAGGTTGGACGGACCTCTACTAGCTCTACGATGTTGTTGTATTGACCAGTAGGATCAATCTATGAGAATAAAGCTCAGTTCAGATACAGATTCAGATGCTGATACAGTTCATAATAGTTTGACACTATAATATTGATGTATTTTATTTTTATGTTAATGTTTGCCACTGTAATAGTAGTGAAATGTCAAAGTTGCGATGTGTTGTATCTTGGTATCAAAGATTAGTACTGGTATTCTATTGATCAAGTGTTTTATTTTTATATCAATGTTTGCCACTGTAATAGAAGTGAAGTGTCAAAGTTGTGATGTATTTATCTTGGTGTCAAAGATTAGTACTGGTATTATATTGATCAAGTGTTTTATTTTTATGTTAATGTTTGCCACTGTAATAGTAGTGAAATGTCAAAGTTGCTATGTGTTGTATCTTGGTATCAAAGATTAGTACTGGTATTATATTGATCAAGTGTTTTATTTTTATGTTAATGTTTGCCACTGTAATAGTAGTGAAATGTCAAAGTTGCGATGTGTTGTATCTTGGTATCAAAGATTAGTACTGGTATTCTATTGATCAAGTGTTTTATTTTTATATCAATGTTTGCCACTGTAATAGAAGTGAAGTGTCAAAGTTGTGATGTATTTATCTTGGTGTCAAAGATTAGTACTGGTATTATATTGATGAAGTGTTTTATTTTTATGTTAATGTTTGCCACTGTAATAGTAGTGAAATGTCAAAGTTGCTATGTGTTGTATCTTGGTATCAAAGATTAGTACTGGTATTATATTGATCAAGTGTTTTATTTTTATGTTAATGTTTGCCACTGTAATAGTAGTGAAATGTCAAAGTTGCGATGTGTTGTATCTTGGTATCAAAGATTAGTACTGGTATTCTATTGATCAAGTGTTTTATTTTTATATCAATGTTTGCCACTGTAATAGAAGTGAAGTGTCAAAGTTGTGATGTATTTATCTTGGTGTCAAAGATTAGTACTGGTATTATATTGATGAAGTGTTTTATTTTTATGTCAATATTTGCCACTGTAATAGTAGTGAAATGTCAAAGTTGTGATATGTTGTATCTTGGTGTCAAAGATTAGTACCGGTATTATATTGATGAAGTTTTTTACTTTTATGTTAATGTTTGCCACTGTAATATTAATGAAATGTCAAAGTTGTGATGTAGTGTATCTTGGTGTCAAAGATTAGTACTGGTATTATATTGATCAAGTGTTTTATTTTTATGTTAATGTTTGCCACTGTAATAGAAGTGAAATGTCAAAGTCATGATGTGTTGTATATTGGTGTCAAAGATTAGTACTGGCATTATATTGATCAAGTGTTTTATTTTTATGTTAATGTTTGCCACTGTAATAGAAATGAAATGTCAAAGTCATGATGTGTTGTATCTTGGTGTCAAAGATTAGTACTGGTAATTTATTGATCAAGTGTTTATTTTTATATCAATGTTTGCCACTGTAATAGTAGTGAAATGTCAAAGTTGTGATATGTTGTATCTTGGTGGTCAAAGATTAGTACTGGTATTATATTGATGAAGTTTTTTACTTTTATGTTAATGTTTGCAACTGTAATAGTAGTGAAATGTCAAAGTTGCGATGTGTTGTATCTTGGTGTCAACGATAAGTACTGGTATTATATTGATCAAGTGTTTTATTTTTATATCAATGTTTGCCACTGTAATATTAGTGAAATGTCAAAGTTGTGATGTGTTGTATCTTGGTGCCAAAGATAAGTACTGGTATCATATTGATCAAGTGTTTTATTTTTATATCAATGGTTGCCACTGTAATAGTAGTGAAATGTCAAAGTTGTGATGTATTGTATTTTGGTGTCAAAGATTAGTACTGGTATTATATTGATGAAGTGTTTTACTTTTATGTTAATGTTTGCAACTGTAATATTAGTGAAATGTCAAAGTTGCAATGTGATGTACGAATTTTGGTGTCAAAGATAAGTACTGGTATTATATTGATCAAGTGTTTTATTTTTATATCAATGTTTGCCACTGTAATATTAGTGAAATGTCAAAGTTGTGATGTGTTGTATCTTGGTGTCAAAGATTAGTACTGGCATTATATTGATCAAGTGTTTTATTTTTATATCAATGGTTGCCACTGTAATAGTAGTGAAATGTCAAAGTTGTGATGTATTGTATTTTGGTGTCAAAGATTAGTACTGGTATTATATTGATGAAGTGTTTTACTTTTATGTTAATGTTTGCAACTGTAATATTAGTGAAATGTCAAAGTTGCAATGTGATGTATTTTGGTGTCAAAGATAAGTACTGGTATTATATTGATGAAGTCTTTTATTTTTATATTAATGTTTGCCACTGTAATAATAGTGAAATGTCAAAGTTGTGATGTATTTTGGGGTCAAAGATTAGTACTGGCATTATATTGATGAAGTGTTTCATTTTTATATCAATGTTTGCCACTGTAATAGTAGTGAAATGTCAAAGTTGTGATGTGTTGTATCTTGGTGTCAAAGATTAGTACTGGTATTATATTGATCAAGTGTTTTATTTTTATGTTAATGTTTGCCACTGTAATATTAGTGAAAAAGTTGTGATGTGTTGTATTTTGGTGTCAAAGATTAGTACTGGTATTATATTGATCAAGTGTTTTATTTTTATATCAATGTTTGCCACTGTGATATTAGTGAAATGGCAAAGTTGTGATGTATTGTATCTTGGTATCAAAGATTAGTACTGGTATTATATTGATGAAGTGTTTCATTTTTATATCAATGTTTGCCACTGTAATAGTAGTGAAATGTCAAAGTTGTGATGTGTTGTATTTTGGTGTCAAAGATAAGTACTGGTATTATATTGATCAAGTGTTTTATTTTTATATCAATGTTTGCCACTGTAATAGAAGTGAAGTGTCAAAGTTGTGATGTATTTATCTTGGTGTCAAAGATTAGTACTGGTATTATATTGATCAAGTGTTTTATTTTTATGTTAATGTTTGCCACTGTAATATTAGTGAAAAAGTTGTGATGTGTTGTATCTTGGTGTCAAAGATTAGTACTGGTATTATATTGATCAAGTGTTTTATTTTTATATCAATGTTTGCCACTGTAATAGAAGTGAAATGTCAAAGTCATGATGTGTTGTATATTGGTGTCAAAGATTAGTACTGGCATTATATTGATCAAGTGTTTTATTTTTATGTTAATGTTTGCCACTGTAATAGTAGTGAAATGTCAAAGTTGCGATGTGTTGTATCTTGGTGTCAACGATTAGTACTGGTATTATATTGATCAAGTGTTTTATTTTTATATCAATGGTTGCCACTGTAATAGTAGTGAAGTGTCAAAGTTGTGATGTGTTGTATCTTGGTGTCAAAGATTAGTACTATACTAGTACTGGTATTATATTGATCAAGTGTTTTATTTTCATGTTAATGTTTGCCACTGTAATATTAGTGAAATGTCAAAGTTGTGATGTATTTATCTTGGTGTCAAAGATTAGTACTGGTATTATATTGATCAAGTGTTTTATTTTCATGTTAATGTTTGCCACTGTAATAGTAGTGAAATGTCAACGTTGCGATGTGTTGTATTTTGGTGTCAAAGATTAGTACTGGTATTATATTGATCAAGTGTTTTATTTTTATATCAATGTTTGCCACTGTAATAGTAGTGAAATGTCAACGTTGCGATGTGTTGTATTTTGGTGTCAAAGATTAGTACTGGTATTATATTGATGAAGGGTTTTATTTTTATGTTATTGTTTGGCACTGTAGTAGCGAAGTGTCAAAGTTGTGAGGAGTCGCATCTTGGTATCAAAGATTAGTTCTGATAATAGAGAGATTTCGCACATAAGTGAAAGGACAACTTATACATATACGTATACTTTAAAGGGTCATGTCAAACTATTATATTTACTAAAATCAATTTTAAATTGTACTTAAAGGGTTCCGATAAGCATCCCGTATAAAAACAATATGGCGGCTCCAGGCGAATCGACTGGATCAGTCCATTTTTAAGAAATAAGGGGAGTTCTGTAAAATCCAGTTTATTGAAATTGTCTTTGAGATAAAGTAATCCGTTTATAATGATTTTGAAAACATTATCCATAGAGTGATTGCGTTCAAAGAATATGTACAACAGCTAATATAAATCCTTGTATTAGAACTGCTTTGTTTCATTTGTAGGATATTTCATATACCAAGCTGTGTGCTATTACGTTATGGGGAAATTTAGATGTCAATTTTTCCTTATTATACACAAATAGAAGATCCTGAAACTTCACCCATAAATGTGGAATTGATTTGTCAAAATAAAAATCACCGTTTTATAAATATGTGACGATCTATAATATACTTATGCTATATAACAGTTAGAGGTGTTGACACAACGACCTCGAGCCTGTGAACCCTTGAGTATTATTCCGGGATCGGGCCTTTTATACTAAACGGTGAGCAACACCAGAAACGAGCGTTCGATTTGCTAAACGATATGCGTCACCCTTTAATGGAACATAACTATTCACGATATAGAAAAGCTCCAACAACTAGAGACTGAATTCCTCATCTGCACGTGTAGATTATGCACATTATAATTAAATGCTTGCTTCCGTGTCCTAGTAGTTGTATTGTATTATAAACACGATCCTTTAAAGTGAGTCATGATCCTTTAAAGTGAGTCATTACATAAACAAGTTGATTATTTCAAAGTTTTCATGATCAGTATAAGTTCAATGAACTTATGAGAGGGTATATATACGTAGATGATGAACGCATACAGTTGGATCTCCGTATAAAGCTTTACCTACATGTGTGTGGAACAATTGATCGCAAGCCTTTTTAAAATTAATTGGCTGAGTAGAAACAGTATCCAATCAAATACTTTAACCATCAATTTGAAACAACAATCAAATGTAGCAATTCCTGGAAACGACCCATTCAGTAGCTCAATAAATGACATACAGGGTGTTTCATAACGAGCATCTCCAAAAAGTCAATTTGAGAAGAGATAGGTCTATAACATATGTACTATATATATATGAGCCTATTTTATTCTAGACAAACACATATGGATCAACTAAACATGCTACAATTCAAGAAAGTACAAATGGCATCCCTTTGACCTTTATTTATTACAGTCCGAGAACATCTTTCTTGACGAAAAGCCCACATTATGAAACACCTTGTACATTTACTTATAAGTATAAGTATACATTATAAGTTGTACTTCACGTATGTGCGAAATCTCTCTATTATATTGATGAGGTGTTTTGTCTTGGTATCTAAATTTGGTGACATTATCTTGGTGTCAATGGTTGACATTCAAAAATGAAGACTCGTTTTACATTGATGATAATGATTGACATTTTAAACATTGGTGAGGTGTTTTACCTTGATGTCAATGGTTGGCACCGCAATATCGGTGAAATGTTGCTGTTTGATCAGCTTAGTAAACATTAGATCTTTGTGCAATGGTACAGCCTCTGAAAGCAAACGAAAACTTTGACACATCTTATATGAGGATCAACAAGAATAAATCATAAACAATTAAAATGTCCCCATCTACCATATGTTACAGACACTGACTGACAAACGCTGTAACAGACACTTTTACAAATGGCAAACAGCCATTTTGAGATTCAGCTGTCATCTTGAAAACTGTTTCAAAAGCAGAATTCCTATGTCCCTAGGCATCAGCATATAAAATTTGAATGAAATCGATCAACTGGTAATTGATATTTAGAATTTCCGTGGCCAATTTAAAATCTCTTGATGATCAAAGCTCTTTTGTCAAGCACATAAAAGTCCAATCAAATCAGTCCTCTGGTATTTGTGTTATCAACAATTATGTTTTTTATGAAAATTGGTGACCATTCAGTGGTCATCTTAAGAATCTCTTCTCGAGCAAAGCTCCATCATCCATTGGCATTAGCACATAAAATATGAACCAAATCCGTTGACTAGTATTTGAGTTATCAAAGATTACATTTTTTAATGAAAAATGGTGGCCATTTTTGAATTGAGTGGCCTTACTGGTATTTGAGTTATCAATGAGCTCCTATGTCCTGAGGCATCAGCATGTAAAATTTGAACCAAATCCATTCAATGGTATTTGAGTTATCAAAGATAACTTTTTTTTACGAAAAATGGCCGCCATTTTGAAATATGGGGGCCATCTTGAAAATGTCTTCTTGAGCAAGGCTCCTTTGTACCCAGGCAACAAATCTATCCACTAGTATTTGAGTTATCAAAGATTATATTTTTTCCAAAAAATGGCCACCATTTTGAATTAAGTGGCCATATTGAAAATTCTTTCTCGAGCAGAGGTCCTACACCCATAAGGCATAAGCCTATAAAATTTAAATGAAATCCATCAACCAGTATTTGATTTGAGTTATCAAAGAAAAAACCTGTAAAATTTGAATGAAATCCATCTACCGGTATTTGAATTATTGCCTGGACACAGGAATGGACGGGCAGATGGATGAACGAACGGACGGACCGCTTTTCTATATCCCCCTCGACCTTCGTTTGGTGGGATAATAGCCTAGATGCGAGTAGAAATGATCTTGATTTACGTCATTAAATATTCAAAATTCAGTCAAAGTGATGTCATATTTGAAATCTACATGTAGAAATACCTCTAAAAATATGGTTTAGAAAATTGTTTATCAACTTTGAAAATTTAATCTTTTTGAAAATGTGACTTCTAGTTCGGGTTGATTCCCCATAGACTCCATATTAAAAAATCACAAAAAGTGAAATATCTTTTCTTGTATTGGACATATAACATTTTCTTTTACTGGACATACTTTAATTTGCATAACTATTCCATACATAAGGGCTATATGAAAATTGAACCACTAAAACAGATGTAATTTAAATTAAAGGCAACTTTCTACTATACCGGCCATGCTATCTGACCCGAGCGAGCCACCTGGTGGTGAAACTGGTAACTACCTACTCGCATTTGCGTTATTACCTGGATGTTTTTGACTTGGATTAAGAGAAGGGTGTGAATCCAAGAGACAATTGGTCTATCCTTATATTATTGGAAATTAACTGGATGTTTTTCATTTGGATTATGAACAGGTCTTAACTGTTTCATATCCCATTGGTCTGCTATGATAGCTAAGATTCAATCATTGAATGTTTCACTCGGCAAAATTGGTAATATTGGCAGTTTCTTTACACCTCTTATATGTCCATATATGGTGTAACCTGGAATGATACGAGCCGAATAACAGAAGATATGGGTATCTTATTCCAAAAAAATATATCCTACTAATAGCCTGATATCATTTCGGCAAATAATAATATTATATGCAAAATAATAAATCTAGCTTTAGCGAATAAAACAAATTATTCTTCAAGAAATGTACAATCAAAAGCGGTTATACGCGGATATTCTTGAACCTATGTGTTATGTATACAAATAAACAAAGTCTAGATCTGCCGTGTGTTTATAATTGGCACGAAGATATAATTGCCTGAAAACTTGTTGATGATTTTGAAAAAAAATTGGTCAATTTGAAGACCTTTTTTAACCTTGAAAGGTCATTGAAAATTAAATCTTATTTTAGAGTCAGATTTGAACTTCTGAAAACTTTGTAGATGATTTTGAAAAAAATTGAAATCAGTCTGAACAGTATTTGTTAAGTTATTGGAAGAAATTGTTACAGACGCCGATCATCAACCAACAACCGACATCCAAAAGGACTCAAAAATAATTTGGAGGACGCAAAAATTGAAAATATTTCTGTTTTTTTTTACGCAAATTTTTTTTAGGTCAATACTACAATGTGTTTACATCGATACCTAACAAAAACAAATAATTATGATCTCTCACCTTTATTTGAATCGTTAATAAGGCTCAACATGTTGAATATTTACAAATAATCATGATTCTCTCGAATTTTTTCGACTTTGTTTATTTTTAGATTTGAAACCATGACACGCCACAGTTTTTCCTATTCAGAAACAAATATTGGGTTATTCATGAAATAAAATGTATTCATTGTCGAATGAACGAACCACCAGGTGGCTTGCTCGGGTCAGATAGCATGGCGGGTATAGTAGAAAGTTGCTTTAATTTAAATTTCATCTGTTTTAGTGGTTCAATTTTCATATAGCCCTTATATATCGAATAGTTATGCAAATTAAAGTATGTCCAGTAAAAGAAAATGTTATATGTCCAATACAAGAAAAGATATTTCACTCAGTAGAATAAATATTCCTCAAGATGAGACACCTCAGAAAATTTCAAATTTTAAAATGATGATTCTGGAGCCATTTCTGAAAAATGTGAGACAAATCATACCTCATTCGAAGGGTATTGTTATTCTTTACCTTTTTTATCACCAATTACCGTTATTCAAGCAATACTGCGTTGATAAGAGGCCAAAACAGTGATATTTTATCGCCGGACTCTTGTCTGTCCAAATCTGAATGTTGCTCCCGTGGTTCCAGAAATGTGATGTCATCAGTACAATGATATTTGGACACACAAGAGTCCGGATTTCGTGAAAAATATTCGCCGTATTAAAAGTCAAATAACTGCATCCATAGGTTATTTACTCAAACCAAACAAGTAGAAATAGAAAGATGAAGATCTCAATTTAGTGACGCATCTTCTGTATTATTCTTTGAGCCTATGAGATCCTACTACAAAACGATCTGGCCAATATCTGTGGCAAGAAGTCAAAAACTGAAAATATGACAAGTAAGGTTAGAACATACATTCCCGAATGGGAAACAGAGCTTGATTGGTTACAGCCAGTAAGGAAAGAAAACTCCAATATTATTATCGGAATGAAGTGTGTCATTTGTACGCGATGTTGTGTTGAAGCAAAGACAATCATGTGACAAAAATAACTTCAAGGTGTTTTGGTAAAAAATGCTTTTAAAATAAAGTTATACCTCAAAACAGGCAAGAAATAGGGGACACACTTTTTTTTCAAAGGACACACTTTTTAAAAAAATTGCGTCATTGGGACGTCATTTTCTAACCTAATGCAAGCGCTGTAATATGTAACCACTTTGTGGTGGTGACATGAAAATCACACACACATACTTGTAAATGCAAACGTGTCATAAAACAGTGTGCTGCTTATGAGTATTCACATATTTAATATGAACACAGTCACTCCACTACTTTTCAAGCTGCAGCAAAGATCATAAAATAGCGTGTAAAGGCTGCTACATTTCAAGATGGATGTCATGTCTTTCTTAAAAATATCTACATTTCGAATTCTAGCTTTATTTTATGTCCTATATAACTTTTTTTACATCTTAAACATAATGCTATTACAGTTTTATATATTGTACCAAAATTACTGTAAATCTGCACTAAAATGGCTGTCATTTTTAAACAAATGGCCATTTTAAAAATCAGCATTAGAACAGAGTTTCTATTCCCATAGGGCATACATGTACAAAATATGAACAAAATCAAGCCAACAGTATTTGAGTTATCACCCAAATAGATGGATGAACGGATGGAGGCATTCCCTTTATGGCCTAGTCACATAGCCCGGCCGATGAGGTTACGATGAGCCAGCGATGCAATTTTCACCGAACTCGGCCGAACACCGGCCAGACACCGGCCGGACATCCGTGGCGTTTGTTGCTTAAAACCGCATCGGTGGTAGCTTGGTGAAATTTTAACTTCGGAGTTAAATTTCACCGGGCTCTCACCGAGCTCCCTCATCATGTCATCGCAGCCCCATCGTAACCACATCGGAAAACACGTCGGCCGGTGCACAGCCGAGTATCGGCCGGTGTCCCGTGCATCTGAGACAACCAGAGGACGAGTTTTTTTAACGGACAGCAGCCGAGCTCCGACCGAGCTCCGGCCGATGTGGGACAGAGCATCGGCCGGTCACTGTTCAAAGCCCGTTAACAACCCGGCCGGGGATCGCACAGTGTCCTGTTACCTGCTCGGGTACCGGCCGTATTCCTTCCGATGTCCGGCCGACCTCCGGCCGGTAGTTGCTGCCACATCGGCAGAAAAAAACTACCATTTTGAGACAGACTCCGTACGGTCACCGGCCGGTGTTCGGTCGGTCGCCTGAAGATGTCCGGACGGAGTCTGTTCACGTCACCGTTCCGATGAGGAGAGCTCGGTGGCACCAAAAAAATCCACCGAGCTCTACCGATGCCGGACATCGGCCGGGCTATGTGACTAAGCCATTATCCTCCTTTTGATCCTAAAATGAATACAAATGAACTCACTTTTAGCTTGCTTATACTGGTCCACATCCCAGTTAGCCAGCTGTATGTATGCCTCGCATAATCCCTCCATTCGGCTAATAATGTCACCTCGGCCAGTGGCACGCAGCCGTTCTACCATGCTTCTAGCTGCGCATACTCTGTCCTACATAGAAAAAATATCAATTTCTTAATCAATATTGAAAAGACATGCAGAGGGGCAGCCGCACAAAAAGGTTTCCTTCTCTAATCTTGGAGGTTTGGGTCTCAGACCTCAAACTCGATATTCGACCTTGACCTTGTTTGATGACAACACTGAAAATGTCATTATTTTCTAACATCAAACCTGACTATAAATTCATAATCAGCAATCCGTAAGATTTGAACTAATATTCTGATCACTTTTTGTGTCTTGATTTCAAATTAGTAATCACGACATGACTCCATATACATGTAAGGCAGAACATCGAGATGGTAACCTTGGAGCTAATTCTACCCGCTCTCTATTTTTAAAATAACTTTCTCATTTATGATGGAATCCTCATGAAATTTCTTGTGTAGCTATTAAGCACACATATATCAAATGTTATAAATAATATATATGAAAGCATTCTAGAAAACACAAATATTTATCCTATAGTAGAGATAACTAACATGGGAAATATAAAGCCACTACAATTTCGGATTTAGGACAGAAAATCCAAAATGGCCAACTTAAAAGGATCCTTTAAACCAATGTGCCTGAAGGTGCCCCCAAAGGTTTCATTGAAAATGATATGGAAATAAAGTTGTTGATTTTCTTTCTCAGAGATATTTATTTTATTATTTGACGTTTCGTAGGATGTCCATCCTACTTCTTCAGAAATAAAATTATATTTGAATCAAACTGAAATAATTAATTATTACATAACAATGAGACAAATAGCAACCGTTACTATAGAAAACTTCATCGATGTTACAATTAAACAATTAATTGAGAAAAATAGCAACCGTTACCATAAAAAGCTTCAATGATGTAATATACAATTAGAAACGTTACTAAGGTATTACACAACATACCACCTAGAAACGACACTAAGACACTAAGTTTAATATGGATTGCTTCTTTGATTTTTCTTTTTAACCAGTGTTTTTCATTATCAATAACCGATACACCTGTCCAATTTATTTCATGTTCTTTATTGATAGAGTGTTCCATAATGGCTGAAGCTATCTGTCCATTGGAAGATAAGGTGACCCTCTTGTGCTCCTTTACTCTACATTCCAAATCCCGCCCTGTCTCACCAATGTAACACTGACTACAATCTCCACATTCAACTTTATATATTACACCTGCCTTTTTCTCATCTCCAACCTTGTCTTTCAAATGGACCAATTTATTCCTTAAAACCATTGTAGATGAAAAGCATACTATTTCTCTGAGAAAGAAAATCAACAACTTTGTACATTACTACCAGAGAGATGAACATTCATAGAAGATATGGAAATAGTTACTTTATCAATGTGAACACATCAAAAATGAAATTAGGTCATTTGGAGTAAAACTTAGAGGTCATTCAGTGCATTTAAGTTTGACTGTGCAAATCATTCTAAATATCATTTTAAGTATGTTGACCATTCATCAATCGATATATCAGAACATCGTTAAGGTAGAACACAAAAGGCAACATATTAAAAACACATATCATAAATTTTAATATGATACGTGATGTCACAATAACTAGAACATTAGTTATGTTTCTTGTTTGTTTATCATATACATTTAGGCTAATATTAGAATCGTGACCTTGATTTTATGATTTATGTCTAATATATGACCTCAAATTTTATTCTGCCCATTGCCAAAGACCTCAATGGCTATGCCATTTCAGTTTTTTAACAATGAACACAATAACATTTTCGGTCATAAATCATAAAATCTCGATCTTTATTCCTTAAATAACCCCTAGAATCAAATGAACCTTAATAAATGTGTTCTTAGTACCATGATCACTTCAGTTGGTATACATTAGGCATTCAACCTAGAGGGTATATTAAAACATTAGTAAGGTGCTACACAAGGGCAACATACTGTAAATGAGAGTTTGTTGGAAGGTTCAGTCCAAAATGTCTTTCCAAATAAGCCTTTTTTATTTTTGTAGAAGGTTCTATGTTGCACCTACCTTAAAGCATGGGCTTTCAACTAGAATTGAAAACCCATGCTTAAAGTCTCCGATAAATCGGACTACGTATACCGCCGTGTTTACATTAGGGGATTAGAAGAGTTTATTTTTATTTAGGTATGTAAGCAATATCAATATTAGGCCTTCATGCATGTACTGGTGTGTTACTTCCTACGAAAGCTATTTGGATTTTGATATAATAGCTTTCCCACAGAGCATTTGGACAGCTGAATGATTGTGACCTTTGAAGTCGAATTAAGTCGATCCGCGGCTTACTTTTGGTCTCTAACTGTGTCTTACATTTAGTATCATCAATCCGTGTGAGTATTAGAGCGCTAAAATACTTCTTTTTCGATCAAGACTTGTAAATTGTTCATCGAGTGAATGTTTTTTAGACCTATTTCCAATATGGCGGTTTGCTAGGAGCAAGATACGCAACGAACGAAATGAATTTTGAGAATTAGTTAGGTTCGGACAACCTCAGGAGATTTACGAAAATGTCCGAGCAGAAAACGCCATATTGGAATTAGGCAGTAAAAACATTCACTCGACTAACAATTACAAGTCTTGATTGAAAAGGAAGTACTTCAGCGCTCCAATACTTACACGGATTGATGATACTGATGTAAGACACAGTTAGAGACCAAAAGTAAGCCGTGGATCGACTTAATTCAATTTCAAAGGTCACTATTAATCAGCTGTTCACTTCGCCTTTTGAGAGCCATAAGTTTCAAAATCTAACATGGCTCTCGAAGTGAGTAACTCGTGTGTACAATCAGCATGCATGCCCTTCAATGTTATATAAACCAGGCTATTCAAGTACTACATACATGTAATGTACACTATTTATGTGTATACTACATGGGAATACGATTCCCTGGGAAACAAAACACAAATACTTTTTATATGTCCAAAATGAGCCATTTGATTGATGCATACACTTAATAGCTCATTAATAACATCTACAAAGTACATCTAATAGTAATTTTCAATTTCAATGGTGAAACTTGCCTGTTTACGATTATACGGGAAATCAACATGGGACGAAGATTGTTCACCTTCCTGACTTACCTCTGAAGCCTGTACCTTGTAATCTCTTTATATAGGTTAGCGAGAGCGCTGCGCCTGCGCAGTTTTAAACTTTGGCGCACACTTTAAGCAATAAATTCAAGGTAGCATGGATTCTTGACTATAGTGGCAATTTCAATATGGCTTCCTTTTTAAAACTAAAAGTTTTGCTATACTTTCATATTGGGTATCTTCCACACTTAGGACCCTCTCTGATATCATGTTTGAATTATATAATAGTGTCAATACAAAACAATAAAGGTAAAATCAGAGGGGGTCTGGTTTGTGGAAGGAAAAAAAATGAACAGTTCTAGAATTTTTATACTCAAACCAGCCCTGAAAATTTGAAATTGATCTTTCAAACAGTTAACCTGAAAATGTGTAGACAAGACTTTACAGACAAGGTTTTATGACAGAAAATCCAAAATGGCTGCCTTAACATTTACCCAATTTGCTGAAAAATTTATCAGGTCTAGATTTTCTTTTAAGAATTATTCCCTGAAAATTTGAAATTAATCTGTCAATGGTTATCCTGAAAATGAATAGACAAGACTTTACAGACAAAATTTAAGGACGGGCGAGCCAAAATGGCCACCTAAAAATTTACCCAGAATGCTAAAAAAGTAATCAATTCTAGATTTTCACACTGAGAATCATCCCTTAAAATTTGAAATTGATCCCTCAAACTGTTAACCTGAAAATGTGTAGACAAGACGTTACAGACAAGATTTTATGACAGATATCCAAAATGGCTACCTTACCCAATTTAAGCCATTTACCCAATTTGCTGAATCATCCCTGAAAATTTGAAATCAAATTGTCAAATGTTTATCCTAAAAATAAACAGACAAGCCAATTTACGCAGAATGCCCAAAAAGTATTCAGTTCTAGATTTTCATAGAATCATTCCTAAAAATTTGAAATTGACAGCTCTTAAGGTTAACCTGAAAATGCATAGACATGACTTTACAAGCAAGATTTAAGGATGGACAAGTCATTAACAATTGACAAAATGTCCCCACCTTGCTGCTCACAATATTATGAGTTCAATCTTAGTCAGATTTGAATTTCTTAAAACTTGTAGATAATTTTGAAAAAATAAATTGGTCAATTTGAAGCAAGATGAAAAAATACCTTTTGAACTTGAGAATGTCATTGAAGATCAAATCTTTTTTTGACCTTGAGAATGTCATTGAAGGTCAAATCTTTTTTTGACCTTGAGAATGTCATTGAAGGTCAAATCTATAGTCAGATTTAAACTGTTGAGAACTTGTAGATTTTGAAGAAAAAATTGGTCAACTTAAAGCAAATTGGTAAAAATACCTTTTTTGACCTTGATAAGGTCATTGAAAGTCAAATCTAAAGTCAGATTTGAACTTCTGATAACTTGTAGATGATTTTGAAAAATTGGTCAATTTGAGGCAAGTTGAAAAAAGACTTTTTTAACCTTTTTTGACCTTGAGAAGGTCATTGAAGGTCAAATCTCAAATCTAAAGTCAGATTTGAACTTCTGATAACTTGTAGATGATTTAAATAGATATTACTGTTCGTTGCAAGAAACATATTGTACAAACAATTTAGAGAGTGTACTTGAAAAAGAGTGGCAAGATTTTATGTGTATTAACAACTGCACAAATAGTCCACATAGCAGAGGTGTTTCAATTTTGATTAATAAGAAATTAAAAATTGAGGTGATAGATATATTTAAAGATAGAGATGCTCGAATTTTACTTGTTAATGTATTTTTGAACGACAACATGTTCACTCTCAGCAATATATAGGGTGTCTCAAAAAAATGTATCCAAAAGTATATCAACACCATAGACAAACCAATCAATATTTTCAGACATTTTTTGCATGGTCTTGTAGATAAAAGATGAAAGTTTTTTAGGAATTTGATAAATTCTACTAATCTTACACATATACATATGTAGTC